CTTAGTGCTCTCTAATAGAGAGCACTAAGCTAAAGCAGCCTGCTACAGACAGAGATGAGACTCCATGCCAGCAGGCTGCATTAGCCAGGTCAAAAGTTGAGAATGCAGCATGTTACCCATCCAGAGAATGCACTGTGGCTGTCAGGAAGGAGCTAGCAGAGGAGCCTTGGTGCTTATCAGCAAAACTGTGCTGCAACAAGAAGTAGTGTTGTGAGTGCACTCGGTCTGCAGCTCCTCCTAGACTGCAGAGGTACTAGCTTGAACATCTCAGTAACTGCTGTGGCTGGGAAGCTGGGCTTGTTAGGGCTCAGAATTACCCTGCAATATAACTCCCTCTTTGCTTTATACCTCTGTCCTGGTGGAATATGCCACAGACTACTAGTAAAGCTCTTAATCAACATACAAATCCTACAAAGCTTGCACAAACCCTTGCAAGCATGTGAACACCAGCTTATGAAACAAACAGGGAAGGGCTTGCTTTCCCAAACCAAATTGTTTAGCCATTCACAAAAGCTGAAAACGCAGACATTAAATAAAGACCATGTGTAGAGGTGCTGCTGGGCCGTACTGGGAGGAGCACCGAAGAAGAAAGGCAGGCTCTGAATACACACTCCTTTTGCAAAGTAAGCTCTCTGTATTCATCCGAGAATGTCTGCAGTACGGGGTTCATCTGGTATAAATAAAATACAAAATTTTACAATGTCTTAATCATTATTTTAACAAAAATACTAAAAACTGAGTAAAAACTGAAACCAAAGTGGGAAGGGAGACTATCAGCCACAAGGTATCTCCATAAACATTTGTAGAAATCGGATAGTAAAAACCCTTTCTCTGTACAATAAAACCATCCTCCTGGCATCTCCCTGTGAGACAGGCAGCAGCAGCACTAGGGGCACAGGCCCAAGGACAGAGGTTGGGGGCAGCCCCAGTTTGTGGGTCAGGCTGAAGAGGCTGTATCCAGTCCACAGTGATGTCTCCCTCCTGGATCGGGCTGAAGTGCCACAGATCAGTAGCGTCCAAACGGGTTGCTGTTCTGCTGTGTCTGTGTATCTGTTGAGGTCAAGACAGAGTTAGACAGTCACAAGGTCTGGTTCAGAAAAGAGATCCCTCTCCCCACATCACCAGCACAGTATGAGGAGTGTGTCGCAGGCTGTGAGAAGAGAAATATAACCTTTATGGCACTCCCTGCCCTGCTCATCTGTCTGAGCCTTTAGGCAGCAGCACAGTCAGGACCTCATGCTCTTTGAGGAAGAGATAGATATGTGCCAGTCCCGATCCTGAAGCTCCTCCAGAGATCTCTCCATCCCTCGTGGTGGAATTGGTGCACCATAACAAAGCTCTGAAAGGTGGCAGCTAGCTGGGAGGATGAGTTTATGGATGAATTATTTCTGATTTTGAAAGAAAATCAGCCTTTTAAGATTGCACAAACACTTGCAGCCATACAAGCTGCTCAGACAGTGTCAAACACTCATCCTGAGGCAAACCCAGAAACCAGAGTTAGTGAAGGTTTCAGAGACAACTATCCTGGCTCCCTGTCAGTATGTCAGTAGAAATGAAGGACATGCCCAAAGGACTTCCAGATGGCACAAAAAGGGCAGGAAACATGGTAAAGTTATATTCAAGAACCTTATGAACTTCCAAACTGCTGGGACTGATGTTTTGTGATGTACAGTGCTCACAGCATACTTGGGTACTGTCCGATTAATAAAATTCTGTTTTTTTTTTTTCCTGAAACCCCATCAGCATGTCTGACCCTAAGTCAGACTAAGTAAAAGGAGACTAGTGTAACCTGGCTAGCCTGCTCTCCTCAACTCTGCTGGACAATAGCACATTCAGGGATACCCTGGAGCCTCCTAACGCAGCCTATCCTGGGCCCAGAGCATTCTTGTCCCCCTCCTACAGGCTGTTTTTGGTTTATGTCCTGCTTTCCACTCCATCCCAAACACTACAAATAAGAATTCCAGATGGTTGCTGGTAGAACTGATGAAAACCCAATGAGGGAGCATGGAAGCTGCATGCTGACACATGGCTGCATTGGACCCACGCATCTGTTCCATATAAAACAGCTCCATCTGCTGTACAGACAGGATACAAAAATATGGCTATTCTGCTACATTCAGATTCTTAGATGAGGCCTTCCTATACTTGAATGTCCTGGCCAGGATCCTTGCACAGACTTGTGGTTTGTGAATCAGGCTAGTGGGAAACTTAGCACATTAATACTTGTGGTTTGGGGCGTTTTTTTGGACACAAGGACTAAGAATTTCCCATCAGGGAACAAGTATAAGCACAATTTCCCAGCCCCCACTCCACACGTTATTACATCTAGCACAGTCTCACACTTAATGCACTGCAAAAAAAAGAAACTGTGCAGTCCATTTCTGGGCATTTTCATAGCATGTCCGCCATTTTTATGGCAGAAAAGCCAGTGAGGTGACAGTAAAAGAGCAGGCCATTCAGAAGGGAACTGCACAGACACTGGGTTCTGTTTCTAGATCCCCCAGCCAGCAGTTCAATATAGGAATACAGTGCCAGATTGAACACCATCTATGCCATTACCCTGTTTGTGACAGCAGCAATGGAAGCCCACAGAACACTGCAAACACAGCAAGTGTGCAGCAACGCTTCCCAGAGTACCCTCCCTGCCTCCAAGAAGTCTTGTCCTGATCACAACATGAACACAGTATCTGGGTCATCCACCAAGTGAGTGCCCCAGGATTACAGCCTCCCTGTGCCCCTCAGAGGTCATCTGCAGCAGAGGAAATACCTCTGAATGCTTTAAAGCTGCAGACTGGATCTTTTTGGGAAAGCTGCATAGCAGCCCCTACAAAGGCTCAGCTCCCTCATCCCTCTGCAGGCAGCAGAAGGAAGGTCTCGAAGGTTGCTCACAAGCTGGCAAGCACTGCTTGCCCTGCTGCTGTGCCCCCTTGGGCCGGGAGCTCTGGAGTCCTGATGCCACCTCCCTGCCAGCATCATTTATGGCCTCAACCAGGCAGCCTGGCTTGGCCTTACTTCTCTACACCAGGGTACCTGCAATAGAAAATGGTGGGGAGAAGACTAGGGACAGGATCAAGAACACTAAGGCTTACTGGAAAGCTGCTGCTGAAGCTGTCGAACCAGAGCAGCTGTTTGCTGCTGCTGCTGTGTCTGCTGAAGGCCCTGGCGCTGGAACTGCAAAGAGAGAAACATAGTTATAGCCACACCACCTGGCTGGCAGCCTCGGCAT